TCTCCTGTCCAACAGGATTGTCAAACCTCGCGTGAGAGACGATTGCGTACCCGTCCGCACACGCATCGATTACAGTCCAGCGTGTCCAAACCGGATAATCGCCTACCTTCAACCTTGTCATGCTTCCACTTTTCATTAAAATCTCCAGATGTCTATACTAGGTGTAAGCGTGAGTATGCATGTGTCCAACAGGTCTGTGTGTGCAGTATTTGTATGCACATGAGAATGTGTGCACACACTCAGAATTGCAGTCGTTTTCTTCTTATTATTATTTTCTTAACCCCGCTGGCCCCTGGTGACAGGTACAGCTCAAACCTCTTAGATTGTCACCTCTACCCCCCCACCTATGGCTTACTATTTTTTTGTTTTGTTTTGTTTGTTGTTGTTTGTTTTTTTTACCCCCTTTCTTCCTGTAGTCTTTCATTAAGCAGATTGGATTTTAACAACTCAAAGTAATGTCATGCTTGCCTCTAATTCAAATTAAAAGCCGAAGAAGCAGATTTTCCAACAGTAGTTGCACCGAGAAGTGATTTTAATAAGGTTGCCTGATGCATGTGTGACTAAACTTCTTCTTCATTGGTAAACTTTAACACTTTTTATGAGCTGAAAAAATCATTGGTTTAATGAGCAATTAGAAAAAAAAAGTTGGGGGGGAGAGGCTTTAGTCCTACCTAAAAGTTACAGACAGACACTAAGAGTTAGAAACTGGCTTATGTGAGCATGACCACTCTGTATAAAGCCAAATTAACTTTTGGCTTTAACACTATCTCTGCTGTGTGCTATGCAACTATAAACTACAGTCATTGAAGGGAAAATGTCAGGTGTGTGCCTCCTACAAATGTTAATGACAAATGTGATGGTACAAGATGTCTGCCAGGAAGAAATTTAATCACTAGAGTGGCATTAGTAAAAAAATAAACTGCAGAATGTGGTATGTATTTAGAGGTATATTTTGCTGGTGCATTAAGTGAAGAGACAGGTGCTGTTATCGCATGAGGGCGTCTCATCATGGCACTCCAGCTTTATCGAGGAATAGTGCATTGTTGAAGTGGACCTATGTGCTTCTCGAGAGAAGATATCCAAATAGGAAATGCAAATTTAAAATTAACCGTGTGTGTGTGTTGAATTCTTTATGTTGCGAATGTTCACTACTAAAGAGATCAAATGTTGAAAGTAGCTCTTTATTAAGTTACTGCTGCTGATGAGTGTTACCCTACTATAGGAAAGATCCTGCGTATGATGGCAGCACTGTCTAGAGAGAGGCCTTAGCTTTGGAGAGTAAGAAGATGGAAAGATGTAGAAGAAGAATAAAGGAGACAGAGGAGAGGGTGTTCTTGAAAAAAGGGTGATGCGGTCAGCAGACGCTCTCTTTACGTTTGTGTATCTATTTATGAGAACCTGAAAGAACCCTTCTCCTCCCTCGGAAGTGTCTTAAAGCTTGTGTGTGTTGGTGTACGTACACACACAATGTGCATGCTTGAAGCAGTGTTTGTTGAATGAGTGAGTGTGTGTGCGCGCATGTGTGTGCACTGGTGTAAGCAGCCATCAGCCACAGACTTGCCCTGAGACTTTACTGTGGTAAAGTGGAAACTTTGAGTTTTCTTTGTGTACATTTTCGTGCCATGTATGTATGCACTACTTCAACATATCTCTGTACAGTCCCTCATGGCCAAATGTATATATTGAATGTATTGTATGGGGACATAGAGGCATCAAGGTTCAAAATAAATACAAAATAAATACATTTCAAAAATAAAGTTGGGTTTGATTTGACAGTCCCTGTTTTACACTGACTCAGATCAATAAAGCAAACTCATAATTATTTGGTAAAAGAAGCGGTGGGGAAAAAAGACCCTTTTCAGAATCTCGGCCATGACCAGTTACCATGGTGAGGCCCTTCAATAAACAGTGAAGAGCGACCATTGTTTGAGTCAAGGACAGAACGCTGAAGCTATTATCAAGCCAGTACTGCAAACCCTTGTTGTTCTTTATTGATCCACTTTGTTGCAGTCTCGTAATATATTTTTCACTCTGTCCTTCATTCTAGTACGATTATCTTGACTTGCCTTTCAAGTTTAATTGGCAGCGTTTCCTACGTTTAGTCTCCCGGTTCCCTTTAATCACATCTTTCGGCCTTTATTGTACATCAGAATTATATGTAAGGTGTAGTCATCCTTCCTAGATTTTACAGAGTGTGAATAATACATGATTTTTTTTAGCATTTGGAAAAAACCTCAAGTGACAGATTGAGCAGCCATTTCTTGGCCAACTGTTAATTTTCCCTGGTGATGGTTTTATTCATAGGTCTGTAAAAGTTTCTGAAACAACTGCTAGAAAGAAAAAAAAATCAGTGCCATTAATTTGTTTAATGTGACAACAAAGGATTAAGTTTTTTGTTTGTTTGTTTGTTTTTTAACTTTTCTAAAAATTTAACTTCCTGTAAATGGATAAAAGCTGCACTGTTTTCTGTTCGTTCTTTACTTTTCAACCAGACAGTTCACCATGGCACTATCATATGCCGAGTCCAGCTGTTGAAGGTAATTGGAACAGTGAACTATGCAAAAGCCACAACTTTAGGTTAGTTTAAATCAAATGGTTCTGTGTATTTTTTTTTTTCAGCAATTTCTTAGCAGAACTATAAAATGAAAAATGACAGTGACCATTGTCGGTTTACATTTTCCTTGATTTTCTCATACCCAACACAAATTAATCTGACTCACAACCTTGGTAAAAAACAAAAAAGACAATTAAAACAGAACTTTGCATTTTCAATTTTTTAACCACATACGCAGCTTAGGTTCATGAAGGGAGCTGGAGCTTATCCCAGCTGCCACAGAGAGAGATGGGGAAAACCCTCAACAGGTTGCCAGTCCATCACAGAGCTAACACAGAGAGACAGACAATCTCACACTCTCACATCCACGCCTAAAGCCAATTTAGAATCACCGGTTAAACTGAAATGCATGTCTTTGGATTGTTGGAGCAAGCTTTGTACCCTCAGAAACTCCCCTCAGTAGTTGTTCTAGAATATTTACCCTTCTCTTTGCTTCAGCTCTGTTCTCCTTAAGAGAAGCTCCGTGAAGGGTTAAAGCACCCTGGATGAAATGCATCAAAGAACCTTTTGTGGGCAAAAAGTGTGCCGCAAAAGAAGGCCTAACGAATAAAAGCATGGCTTGAAAGCAATGAATGGGCCACAAGGGGATAAAATGGCCTCGTGTCTATCAGAAGCTCATTTCATATTCTGCTCAGTCACGATGGGCAGAAAGCAATCTCAGGTAACAGACCTTATGTTAATAACATGTGAGTTGCCTCCTTTCAGAAAAACAAAAGTGCATGGAAGCCATTATACCAGCCCCATCCTATCCTCCTGCAACAGCACGTCAGAGGATTTCATCTAGAGAATAGTGTTGGTAATGTTCTGCTTGTCTGTGAAGCTGCTTGATTAGACAAGCTTTTACACCATTTCAAAAGGCCTGGCATTGATGCTTTCTATTGGCCTAATAAATTGCCCTTAATGACACGCTCCAGAACCTTGCTCATTACCTGAATCCCAGGTCACTGTGAGAATAATTGGGCAGATTTGTGCCAGCTTCAAAGCTCAGGGCCTGATTCATTAAAAAGGACCCTTTTCCAACTGTTTATGCCATTTCTGGTCCGTGCTCAGATGTCTTAAAAATATCTGATTTATCAAAGCTATTCAAAAGCTCTATCATCTAGGGTTGTAGTGCACTGAAGGCACCTTGTGATAACAATGCCAAAGCCCAGTAAATAGGGCTATATTGATCTACAAAAACACAGGCAAACAGTCAAAAAAAAAAATAACAGTGTGTCTGTTCCTCAAACTTGCTGGTTTCATGTGAAAATGCTTTAATACC